GCAGGGTCCTTGCTCATAGTCCATGACGCCAATCCCAATACCCGAGAACCCTAAAATGTAAGCTCTGTTTTGATAAACCTTAAACCATATGATGATGAACAGACTTGTAAACCACATTTTGACAAACCCCAAAAAGGCCCCTAAACCCGACTATCATGATCAACCCCAAACCCCTAAACCCGACTGTCATGATAAACTCTGAGCCTTTTTTGAATGAGGGGATCTTTGTAAAAAAAAACGGGCTCGGGAGCAGATTGCTTGCCGTGTGACCGCACTCCGGAGGCTGCTGGCATTGGCGCTTGGGTACCGAAGCAGCAGACGGGCAGCAAAGAGAGGAGTCGAAACGAACATGAGGACAGGGGGGCTTTCAGGAGAGGAGGGGAANNGTTCAGGACGGGGAGGAGAGGAGAGGAGAGATGAGTGGAGTGGAGCAGGGCATATCTCGGTTCAGCCGAGATCTGCCGGACCGTGCTGTGGCTACGGTTGTCCGCGTTCAAAGCCCCTGAAGGACAGTCTGCCTCAAATCGAAGAGATCGCCAACCGGATCGCCGACAGGCCTCAGATGCAGTCCGAGACGGCGCATTGCAAGAGTAGCCTCCGATGGGTGCAGCGTCGTGGGAGCATGTCAAGGCTTCAACGATGTCATAAAGGCCATATATCTCTTGGAAGCGTAGATGTCTATCTCCACATAGGATTGCTCTTATACGACTTTGTCTTATGGTCTATAGACTTGACTTGTCTTTTTCTTGCATGAAGCCCTGAGCCCCGGTATCCTCATCAAGTCCGAAGGCCGCATCCCCAACTGCCCACTTCGACATGCCGGAGCCTTCCCCCCCCAGGTATGCCGGTGGACTGAAGAAGCTGAACCAGGCCCGACGGTCGGAGGTTGGAGGGTCAATTAGATGGCAGTAGGTTAGATTAGAATAGATTTGGTCGTATATTCGGTTACCTGATCTTAGATCATCCTGTACTAGTTTAGACTATGTTAGGTTAGACCATAATTGGTTGCAGTAACTTGTTAGTATCTTGTCCCATGAGAGTTCGGGTGTCTTGTGACCGGCCTTTGCGCAGCCGTTATAATGCGATTGCCGCTGCTCTTCCTCTTCCCCACGGGGCGGTGCCCCGCCGCAGGCCACCATGATCCCAGGCCCTTGAGACCCCAAGGCCTCTGAAAAGGGCAACGTCACTCTGAGGGTCCGGATCTGCACTGATCCGCGGTAGGCCCAGTAGGCGGCAGGTTGGATTCCCTAAGCCCAGTGTTATGATTCACGCCTGTGGTATGCCTCT